TCTTTAATCTACAAACTGTAAATAAATAGCGTGAACCGGGATAGTAGACAACAACATTAATACCTTGCTGTCCTCTGTTAAATCACGAAACCCGTTTCCCTTAAATTTTTTACTAAGAGACTTATACATGCATAAGTTATCTATCAAATTATTTTTCTTTAAATATTAAATGTCATCTAAGTTTGTTTTAATGATTACTCTTCATCTAGATTCATTAATCATCACGGTATTTATATATACATATTATGTAATAGACCTATCATATCACGTCCGTAGTTACAAAGTCAACTCCATATTAATGCAATAGAATAAGACTCAATAATTAAAAAAATAAACCTCAGTATTCGGGCCTAAAAACACAGATAAGTGTATCAATACCAACGGGTAAGCTCAAATAACCTTCCAAATAAGTGTATCAATAATCAAGGATTGCGAGTACTAAGGACCGGGTAAGATGGTGGTAACATTGGTATTGCTAGTTATTAAACACGATTTTGTCTTGTGATAGCACAGGACAATATTGTTGATAAACTATAGAATTGCAACAGTTAAAGTTGCTAACTTAGAGTAAGATGTTACTGTTCAACTGCAGCCACAAAAGACTGTAAAGTTAAATAAGATGATAGTTCAACTGCAACACTAAACATTGCAAACTTATGTTATAAGATGTTACTGTTTATCCTCAACAACAATGGACTGCATTAAGTATTATTAAAAGACATTTCATTTTTACGCATCACAATTTTTCATTTTTTACATATAGCATTCCTTTTACTGTAGAACAATGGAATGAAAACAAAATAGATGCTACATGTCATTATATTTTCAATTGGAACCATATTGTTTTGTTTTTATTTGTGGAAGCTAGGGTGAATAATGTGTATGCAATCAATACTTTACCAATACATGAACTGACATTTTACCATCAGACATCATAATATTAAGAACTAGTGGAATAAGAGGTAGGCATAAATACTTAATGTTTTTATAATTCTAAATTGTAGCATTTGAATATCATATTTATAAGATATTATATTTACTATTATCTATTAGTATTAAATATTATAAAACATTTTACATATAACTAGATATTTCCAATTGATAATTTTATTTTTTCTCACGAGCTGACTTTGTTAATTTCACCTCTAGAGAAGTATAATTATATGAAATACCTATTCACTGAAGTGTATCATATGTCTATATATTGCAGATATCCTAATATCTGATTATGAAGATACAAGACAAGAAGAACAAGTAGATGCAGTTACTAGTTTATGGAAACTTACAATTCCTAACCAATGTGAGTTCATATGTTTATATTCTTTACTATTTGTAGCATCCGTAATTTTTTCTATTCTATTTTGAATATATATAAGATTAAACACTTGCAATCTACACAGTTGTTTTATATTTTCTATCACTAAACAATGTTCAAGTAACAGGATACTACTATATTCTCTTCTTTTAGACAGTCAATATATAAATGTTCCACAAAAGTATTCTTGCTTGAGCATCTTTTTTGAATTTTTTGTATAATTATGCATTTCATATTTGTACCTGACAAAAAAATATTTTAAGTCTCTTGTAACTTATTATTTAACAATTTCAGATTAAATTTGCCAGCCATAAAACAGCATTGAGAGCTCCACACTTCAAAATGAAAAGGGTATCATTGTACATTTTTATGTAGCATCCGTAATATCACCTACCTGTGTAACAAACTGTAAGCATCATCATACTTGCTTGTTTAAGACAAGGAAATGTTACTTCATTGATTAAAGACTGTTTTCTGTACAAGAAATTAATATCTTTGTCACTCTAACTCAAGTAAGATAAACTAGAGAATAAATGAACCATCACTAAGTGGAATAAAAATTTATAAGATAATCAAAAAAAGTGATTTTTTGTGAAAAGATATTTAAATTCCAATGTTTTCAGTTTTTATATTATTAATTCTACCATTTTCTTCCATTCCAGAAACTTACCAGTGACAATGTGCAATTCTTGTGGAAATGGGATACAATAAATTTGAGACATATAGCAGCTGTTATTCTGATGGTGTCAAACTTTGGATGACCGAATGAGACACTAAGAGATGCGAATACTTCAGGATTTTTGTGTCAAATGATCAGAAATAGATTTTTCTTCAATAAAAAATACAAAAAACGATAGTTATGACAGGTTTATTTTTTGATTGTCATGTCCTCCAAAAGTGCTATTTTATGTGAAAATTACCGATAGACACTGGGCCTTTGAATGCCATGGCAACAGCAGTTAATGTTTATTATTGATTCATATTGTTTAAAGTATGTCTATTTTATATTTTAATAAAGTATGTAGTTACAATATTGTACCAGAGTTACATTATATTTGTGTGTTGTTTTAACAGTATAAACAGAGTGCAAGAATTCCACCAAGGGAAGGCATGATAATGTCATCACTCAAAATGTAAAAAAAAATTTTGAAAGTGAGATGAGATGCCCTGATAGTTGATCGCACATTCGTGGGTGAAACAAAAAAGGCCCTCTTTAAGTCAAGCATTTTGGAAAATGTGTCCCGACTGGGTTCATTGCAACATATTTTTGAATCGATAACTTCAATATCCTGAAGTTTACTTTGAAGAAAACATATTATCTTAATGAAAAATCCTGATGTTTTCCAGATATAGATAGCCATTTTTATGTCACCACCAAAAAAGTGGTGACACATTGTTTTTTTGTGGCGGCAGTCAGTGGTTGGCGATCAATCGGGTGACGGTTGGCGTCTGCAACAAATTCTTACAACTTCCAATACTTAAGAAATACTGTTTAGACTGACTTCAATTTTTTTCAAAATCATCTACAAGTTCTCAGGAGTCCAAATCTGACCTTATATTTAAGATTTGACCTTCAATGACCTTTTCAAGGTTAAAAAAGGTCTTTTTTCAACTCGCTTCAAATTGACCCAATTTTTTTTCAAAACCATGTACAAATTATCAAAAGTTCAGATCTGACTTTAGATTTAAGATTTGACCTTCAATGACCTTCCGGTAGTGGTTGGCATCTGTAACAAATTCTTAACTTCCAATAAATTAACAAATACTGTTCAGACTGACTTTAATTTTTTCCAAAATCATCTACAAGTTCAGATCTGGCTATAGATTTTAGATTTGACCTTCAATGACCTTCCCAAGGTAAAAAGGTCAGAAAGGTATATTTCAACTTTTTTTACCATTTTTTCTAAATCATCTACAACTTCTCAGAAATCCATATTTGACTTTAGCTTTGAGATTTGACCTTCTCAAGTTAAAACAGGCCAATAAAGGTCTAAAGGTATTTTTATCACACCATCGGTGGGATATAGTCGTCATGCTGGTCGTGATCGTGGTAGTGATCGTGGTCGTGATCGTGATCGTGGTCGTGGTCGTGATCGTGATCGTCCCGCTTTTTGTCATCGCCGTTTAAGGAAAACTGCTCATCAGATTTTCTCCAAATTTGCAGAGATGATAGAGCATATGAAGTACTAGAGCTGATTAACTTTTGGGTGGCCATCTTGTTTTCTGGCGGCCATTTTGAAGGTTTTTCGAAAAATCTTGTCATCGCTATTTCAGGAAAACCGCTCATTGGATTTCCTTCAAATTTACACAAATGATAGAGGATATCAAGTACTAGAGCTGATTAACTTTTGGGCGGCCATCTTGTTTTCTGGCAGCCATTTTGAAGATTTTTGAAAAATCTTGTCATCACCATTTCAGAAAATCCGCTCATCGGATTTCCTTCAAATTTACACACATGATAGAGGATATCAAGTACTAGAGCTGATTAACTTTTGGGCAGCCATCTTGTTTTCTGGTGGCCATTTTGAAGGTTTTTCGAAAAATCTTGTCATCGCCATTTCAGGAAAACTGCTCATCGGATTTCCTTCAAATTTACACAAATGATAGAGGATATCAAGTACTAGAGCTGATTAACTTTTGGGCGGCCATCTTGTTTTCTGGTGGCCATTTTGAAGGTTTTTTGAAAAATCTTGTCATCGCCGTTTCAGGAAAACCGCTCATCGGATTTCCTTCAAATTTACACACATGATAGAGGATATCAAGTACTAGAGCTGATTAACTTTGTGGCAGCCATCTTGTTTTCTGGTGGCCATTTGAAGTTTTTTCGAAAAAATCTTGTCATCGCCAATTTAGGAAAACCGCTCATCGGATTTCCTTCAAATTCGCACAGATGATAGAGGATATCAAGTACTAGAGCTGATTATCTTTTGGGCGGCCATCTTGTTTTCTGGTGGCCATTTTTAAGGTTTTTCGAAAAATCTTGTCATTGCCATTTCAGGAAAACTGCTCATCGGATTTCTTGTACATGATAGGGGATATCAAGTTCTAGAACTTATTAAATTTTGGGTACTGGCCATTTTGTTTTCTGGTGGCCATTTTGAAGGTTTTTCGATAAATCTACACCTATTTGATGGTGTGATCTCGTTCACGTCCTGTGCCTTGTTTCAACTTGCTTCAAATTGGCTTAATTTTTTTCAAAATCATCTACAAGTTCTCAGAAATTCAAATCTGACTTTAGATTTGACCTGGTAAAAAAAGGTCTAAAAGGTCTTTAGTTTAAAAAGGTCAAAAAGGTATTTTTCAGCTTGCATCAAATTTATTAATTCTTTTTTAGGTGGTGATGACATTTTGTTCTGTTAATGCCTTGTTTCAACTTGCTTCAAATTGACCAATTTCTTTTTCAAAACCATCTACAAGTTCTCAGAAATTCAAATCTGACTAAGATGGAACTCATAATATTGTGAGCAACAAGGTGATGACATTTTGTCATGTTAATGCCTTGTTTCAACTTGCTTCAAATTGACCAATTTCTTTTTCAAAATCAGAAATTTTTCAGAAATTCAAATCTGACTTATGATTAACTTATAATATTGTGAGCAACTCGGTGGTGACATTTTGTCATGTTAATGCCTTGTTGTTTGATTGCATTATTTACAGGTATATTTTCATATGTAAAACCAATGCGGTTTTATAGTTTAGACAACGGTTCTTGGAAAATTCACAGCCACCAATATTGTGTTGGTGAATAAACAATTTTTAGCTAAATTCAAGAATTATTTCTTCGATTTACATCAAAATGGACATTTTAATTGCCTGGACAGATTTATGGATGGATAGACTGATGGATGGAGGGTTTCACTATATCCCTGTCAAACTATAATAACATTCATTGTTCAGTTATATTATCCCTTGGAAGGTTTAGGGAGAATAAATGCACTAATACCCTAAAATCTAAAATTTTAGGTCCCATGAAATATTCAATGGTCCCAAACATCTCAAAATGCATTTTAAAATAAAATTTAACAGCTCCAGGTTGGTATTCTGTAGTTCCAAGGTGTATTTGCTTGTAGTTGTTCTCCTCACACCACTTTAGGAGAACATTAACAAGAGCCTCTGCAATTCCATTGCGTCTATAGTTATTATTCACAGACATGCGGACAAGTTCTCCCTTAGTTTTATCCTCATTCTCTTGGACTCCTACAGTCCCAACAAGTGTCCCGTTATGGAATGCAACCCAGAGACAACGTCTTGGATCTGTTGTCCAGTAGTTCACAAAATTGTTATAATCCTTTTGTTTGTGAGTAAATTTATTATTCAGATGCTTCATTAATATTGCAAAGGCCAAGAGCCAGGCTCCAATTAAAAACACCAAAGATATCAACATATATCCACTCAAGAATAGCAAGCTGGAGACTAGAAGTATTGCTCCAAGCTTCCAAGGTTTTGATAACCATGCTTTAACCATCTTGGGATTAGTTTCTGTGTAAGTAATGAATGCCAATTGTTTTACTTCTCGCCAATTGTCCCTTTCTTTATCAAATGGTCGTATCTCAAGGTCACTCAGCGGCACCTTCACTGGTGGTTGTACTTTGCCCCATAACATCTTCAACTGGAATAACATTAATATTCCATTTTCAACTTGAATAACATAAGTGTACATGTTCAGTTGTACCAGACCTGTCAATTTTTCATTTTCAATTGGAATAACAGTGAATTCATAATGATAATTTATGTAACTTGCACTAATTGTCAAAGTCTAACTTACTGTTGTCTGCCATTTTGAATATCACATGATAATTCCATATAAAGCTTGTAGGACCATATAGGGAGTGCTCATGTAAACAGCATTTAGCCTTTTTAATTGGGAAATTTCCAAAATGGCTGCCATGTGATTCTACAATTTACATGAGTGTGACGTGACATCACAATTGGTTGTTTCTAGGTAACAACAAGATCACATAATTGCTCGTTTCTAGGTAGCAACAGAATTTTTGATTAAAATGGCACAGAATTGCCCTGATTAACACCCTTCAAATCTCATTTTCAAAGGATATATTGGGAGAAAAAATAAAAGGTAAGTGGAATAAATTAGAAGATGGTTTCAAGTTATTACAGAAATCAATTTGAAACTCAAAACTGCTTCCTTAAACTCATAATCACAAAAAAGTTGGGTAACTTTTGAGTTTGGTATCCACCTTAAGGTAATGCTTAAATGAATCAAATGTACAAAAACATGGCAGCCATATTTTTTTGATAAAGTCACATGATTTTGTATCTGTTTTCCTTATATGTGAATGCATTTCCTGACTAAAGAGACATGCCAAAGAAAACTCCACATTTAAACGCATTTTTTATAACTATTAATTGGAGGTGCATGGGTCATATCAGGCTTTAACATTGCCATGTGGTCATGACAGGCCATGCAATATAATATAGCATTGTCACGGTTATCAGGCTATCATGATAACAATACCACGGTCATGGCAGGATCCTTGCAATAGTTAAAAACATTTAATAATATGGTGACAGTTGTGCCAGGCATAAGTCTTGCAATAGATAGGGTCTCCATGACATTGGGTCACTAATTAGACATTTGGAATTGCTTTGGGGTGTTATTTACAAATTTGAAATTATAAACTGTAACGACCCTTGATAGAAAGTTGCTACTACGGCCCAGCTGTAGTGGCTTAAGCCTTTTATAGCTCAGTCGGTAGAGCATCAGACTTTGGGTCTTACTATATTTGCACATAGTATCTCTCAAAAGGAGATAGCTTTGTGCAAACTAAGTAATTTGGGTCCAAGGGTCCTAAGCTTGATTCCCACACGGGGCATTGCATTTAGCACACTTTCTTTCAATTTCTTTATCTGGCTTGTTACACTATGCTCGTTAGTTAGTCATTCCCCTGGGCGCGCCTCGAGTTATTACAAAACAAATTGGTTTGGAACATATTGAATTTGGACAGGCTAAAATACCTTATTCCTCGTTCCGGCAACGTCCCCATGTACGTGAGGCTTATTGCATCCTACGACCCCTTTAGATTGTAGCATGGGCTCTATCAGTGGTAGAGCCCTAGTATGTATCCAACAGACCGAATATAATATTCGGTCTGTTATGATTGATATATTTCCTGTGGAAATCGCGGTGATATTTTTTGCACATTAATTTCTCGTTTATTATAAGAATGTTCACCTTGAAAATTGGTGAATATGTTGAAGAGATGTTCATCTCAAACTAGAAGCAAAAATATTTGTATAAGGCGGGTACAAGTTGATATAAAATAATGAAATGTTCAGACTCACCGAAACTTCAGGATGTGTTCATAAGTAGATCGCGAAATCAATGTCAAGGACGTTTGAGTTCACGAGATCCAAACGAGATATGCAAATTTTGAACTTTGACAACACATGACCACTTGATTACCTCGGCCTTCTTCATGAATATTTCCGCTCTATTTACTATAAATGAAGAAAATTAATCGGGATAATGATAATAAATGACTAGATCTAATAAATTCCCGCACAAATGGAATTTAGCAATACGCTTCCGTAATGTTGCTCCCGCTCCACGTGTTATTTGTTTACAAATAGACTGACGTCACTGGCTAAATCTCGTTTATCGTGAGAATTGGCATTGCCAAAATGGCTTGACCTAATCAATGGCTTCGCTACAAGAAGCGTCTGTACATTTTATGAATATCTTCAGTAAGAGGACAATATACGAAAAAATAATATTGTGAGTTCTTTATAAGGTAATCATTCTATCATTAAACAAACTTATTTGTAACATTTATACAACACCACATTTTACAATAGGTGACTTACAGTCTGAATATTTATTCAGACGAAGGATACAGTCTAGGTAGAGCCCATGATTGTAGGGATAGTCTTGGAGGAGATAACGTGAGGCATGATCGATAGTGTCTTTCAAAGGTTCAATTTTTAAAATGCTGTATTTTCTTTCGTATTAAATACTGCACATACTCAAGTTATGTACACCCCACTTAGCTCTGTCAACTTGAGACATGAGTAACAAAACTCAAGAGGAAACTTCGAAAAGAATCAGGGCTGAGATCAGGGCAATAATGTATGGTGAATTCAATTAAATCACTTACCGCTATCGATTGAGTCATTTCTGTGCACAGCGCTGTTACAGACGTGTTTCTGGAATCTGAAGAGCTACATTCATGATAATCTTCTAGACTGGTGACGAGATAAACACTCACCAGATTTCTTATCAATTTGAAGAGCTCTAATTGTGGGGATGGGTCAAACTGAAACACTTTGTTACAAAAAGAGTTAAAATAATTGATCCTACCAAATAAATAGATACATTGATAAAAAAAGTTTATATAAACATTAGATCTAATGTTGGAATTACATTTTAGTTTCAATTAGAATGTAAATTTCATAATAATACACCTGGTTACTTGACAAAAATGCTAGGTTCCACTAGAGGCAATCTGCGCGAGATTCCATTTTTTGGTTCGGTTTTTAGCGCATGCGCAGCAAATCCAGCAATTTAATTGGTTCAAATTATTATAACGCATGCGCAATAAATAACTTATAAGAACATTTAATTTGAGATAGATGTCACTTACGTTCATTATTTCACAGCGAACTCCTATGCAGTGTCTCGGTATAGACACTGCGGCGGGCAGGTGAAGCAAATCCCCAAAAATTGGGGAAAATAGTTCCCCTTTTCATCACATATGTGGTCAATTTTCACACAACTTATAAAATATGTATTCATGAATGTTCCCCAAACATTATTTTGTCAAAATATTCCAAAATTATTGAAATATGAGAAGAAATCACCGCGGAAGGAATTCTGAGTAAAAGTTGTGTTGATAATTGTTTACCGCACGTGTTGTTTATTAGTTAATACGCGCAATTCAACCAATGAAATTGTCTAAATTTTACAATCACGCGACCTGAGCATGGGACTAGAACCAATCACGTCAGTTGTTTATTACGATGTTACCATGCTTACGGTGAGATACCTGCCCGCCGCAGTGATATTATCACTGCACGGGAGTTCGTATTTCACAGCAGTCCCTACCCATGATGCACCATATAGTGCGGGTATATTTTTGTTTAGTGCCAAAACAAAAAGTATACACCCAAACCAAATGTAATGACATAATATCAGCATGCCCCGTATTTGTAGACGTTTATTGTACAAACTTAAACCGAACTAATGGCAGAAAAGCACTTTGAATCATGGGAATGAAGTACTTCCTTTAATGAAAAACCGAACCAAGTAAAAACCGAATCTCGCGCAGATTGCCCCGACTCCTAGGTTCTCATTTCCGCCTCTTCAAAATAGGAGGATTTGAAATTTTAAAATCTAAGTCGAGATATTTATCTAAAGGTTTTGAGTGTTTTATGGTATGTATATTGATGTAATTTCTTCATATTATTTAAACTTTATGTATTGCTAGATATCCCACTGGTTGTCTGAAACACATCGCAGTTAAGGATTAGAGGTCATCAAAGTAAATAATTTTCAGAATATTTTTTCGTGTTCATGTACTCCTGGTTAACTGTTAAAAATAATAAGAACATAACTTCGACATATGAGTGTTACCTGATGAATGGGACTCTCACGTGCCTTCTAAATGGTAGTAAACGAACGCTAGTGTAACTACATCAGCTTATCTTCCCGTCCGATCAACAATAAGTACAGTTATACAAGAAATATAAACGAAGTGAAAATATTTCCAAAACTTTTCCGAAAGGCATGTCATTCCGGAAGTTATGATACGTTATGGTGTCACTACGGTAAATCATTGAAAAATATTGAAAAAAATCACAAAATTCAAGTTCTGGTGTGCGGTTCCATATCCATCCGCCAAAAGGTATGACCCGATATAGTCCATTTAAAGATTTTAATTTTGTTCTAAATAACGCCATAGTTGGCTTCTAGGGTACCTAGTATGCCTCTATTTGGTATCAAATTAAAGAGGAGGAGTTCAACTTTCATTTGAATTACGAAAATAGCGATGCAGGTCAAAATAGTTCCGGCGTGAGCATGTTTACTACGCGTTTGCCCATCATCTCAGAATTGAGGAAATGGTAGCAAACGCGAGTTACAATAAATGGACGCTGATATCTCAAAAAGAATTAGCCCATACAATGACTATATTTTTGCAATCCCCTATACATAACCTTCATCTTGACACTATATTTAACATAGGGTTTGTGTCTCGATTTTTAAATATCGCTACGCCAACATAGGGACTCATTTTTAGGTAAAATCCCTGCTTCCCCGATGAATAAAGTAGTTCCTGTTTACGGGACCATATTCTTGAGATTTTTTGCTAAAAATGGCACATCTAGAAAGTACTTGGCCTCAGCTTTACATACATACCTCAAATGGCCACAGTACATACACTTAAACCTAAAGTTGGCATTGCTTCGTTTTTAAAGTATTAATAAAAAACACTTCCTACCCGGAAGTGATATTTACCGTAATAACACCTTATATTACCGAACATGGGTTTAAATGGAATGTTTTTTCGATGGCATTGTTACACCAAAAGTAGTGCGAAAATGGCCTTTTCACGGGTTGGCATAAAGTTTTGATGAAATTTAAAGACACAGTTCCTCCTTCACGTATATTATCTCATGGAAATGGGCATACCAGCGCAAAGATCTTTGTTCCGTGGTGAAGAAAAGCTATCAAACATTGTCTGAAGAGCAGATTTATCTCCGTAATTCAACTTTTAGCATGGCGACCTTGACCTTGAAAAAAATATAGCCATTTGGGCGATAATAGGTGATTCAAAAGTAAAAAATAGTGCTTTTTTGAAGTTTTACTTTTACCATGTCAACTTGATTTTTCAAGGACATCCGCCTGATAGTTGTTGGGCCAAGTTTGATGGAAAATGGGCCTTGTTTGATATGCTGGCAGTGAGGTTGATTGTGGCAAGTAGTAAAACGGCAAACAATGGTGGAGTCATACCCGATGCTTGGATGTTCGCATTTTATTTAGCTCTCGTAAAATGAACGAACAAAAGTTCCATTTTCACGCATGTTCGGTAATATAACGTATCATAACTTCCGGAAATGACATGTCTTTCGGAAAAGTCTTGGAAATATTTTCACTTCGTTTACATTTCTTGTATAACTGTACTTATTGTTGATCGGACGGAAAGATAAGCTGATGTAGTTACACTAGCGTTCGTTTACTACCATTTAGAAGGCACGTGAGGGTCCCATTCATCAGGTAACACTCATATGTCGAAGTTATGTTCTTATTATTTTTAACAGTTAACAAGGAGTAGGCCTACAGTAAAAATATTTTAAATGTTAGTAAGTTAGTAACTCCTTTCAATTTAAAAAATAAGCCAAAGGACCATATTGAAATAGTGTACAGACACGTAGCCAGAATTTTTCAAGGGGGGGTCACTTTTCCAAAAAATTCTAGGTATCACCACACCGGTACTCTGGAAAACTACTGGCGATTTTAAATATGACAACTTCAACTTACTTTGAGAATATGAGACGAAAGATCAACCTTTCTTCTAAAATTTAAGTAGTGTTTGACATTTCTCAATCTCGGAACGCTAACAATTTAAGACCCCTTAGACTTGCATTTGCGGTGGTCCTAATTATTGCACAGTTGTCCTAATTATCGCACAGTTGTGTTTCAGATGTCGTTTCGCAATACTGTATACATTTCTCTGTACATACATATATGCTATAATCACGTTTCTATCAGTTTTAGTGTAAAATATCAACAAAATATACATTATACACTTACTTTTCTGTCTTTATTTAGAGGGGGGTCAAACTCCATTTTTTGATACTTCCGGGCCATTTCCAGGCCAGTCAAACGGAGAATACCCTTTTAAATCTAACCACCATCTTGAAAATCTCTCTCGATGAAAAAGAAAAATGTTCCCGTTTTGCCGATAAACCCAGATAATTGTGGATTCAACTACACAACAGGGATTCTCAGCGCATATGGGGTACTTTTTTGACATTTAGTATGGCAATAGATACAAATTTTAGGATCTGGTGTGAGAATGCCTCCACATTATGACTTTTGAGGTATGGCGGAATTTTCAATTTCACTGGTTTGAGAATCAGGCCTGTCAACTTGGGAACACCCCATTCTCTTACATGTTGTAGCACCGGAATTTTACGACGTTATACCCAGTATTTTCAGCGGTAGATTTGTAAGTACTCATTTATTTCGACGTTATGACAGAATATGGTCCTTTCCCTTTCGTATCTTAACATTGACCATACCATGCAGATATACTTCTAGTATCTCAACATTTTGTCTGAACACGGTTTAAAACTTCTTAAACCTTAAATCGTTACGTTACAAAGAAATTAATTTCTCGGAATTCATCAATTGATTTGGGAAACTGAAGTGTCTGGATGATGTATAGAAAGTGTATTGTTGATCTTATCAATATTTCAAGATGATAGAGTTAGAATTATAGAAACTATGATGATTTTTGTGAACAATGATTATTTTTTCCCAAAAATTGTCGTGCTTTCTAGAAGGTTTGAGTGGTTTTATACCGTGTTCAGACGTAATTTTGAGACGTAGTGATACTACAAGGTATATCTGCAAGGTATGGTCAATGGTTCTACGAAAAGGAAAGAGCAATTCTGTCAAAGCGTCAAAACAAATGAGTACCTACAAATCTCCCGCCGAAAATACTTGTATAATGTGGTAAACTTCTGGTGCTACAACATGTAAGAGAATGGGGTGTGAACATGAGTGACTTACATTTGTTGAACATTCAAATTGTTGACACCTTGCTCCAAAACTGAACACCTTGGTCAGAATATCAGACACCTTAATTTTTTCCCACTCGCTAAAACTCTGTAAATGGGGGGTAGGTACAAAAAATTTTGAAGCAAATGCATGACATATACACAAGTTTCGAAGCAAATGCATGACACAGAATTCGTGTGAAAAGTCCGAACGGAATGCATTCACTTTTTTTCGGCGTTAGTTTTTTTAAGTATCTGCGTTCGTTTTTTTAAGTTCTTCTACAGAAATATTTTTGTTTGACAATTATCAGGTAAAATGCGTTTTTGCGTGACATCTGTTACGTAAAAAGAGCTGGCATGACTTCAATTTCTTCAGCAAATGTGTGACAAATATGCAGATTGTGGGATAGTTGGACAGCCTGCATCTGTAACTGCATTCCATTATACAACCAATAATGCATTTGTTGTATGGTTGTCAAGGTGAAGAGATTAGAATTGATGCTTTGCTAACTTGACCCTTGCAAAAAGTTTCATTGAAAATATGTTCTTTTAGTGATTTTGCATCTTTTAGGTGGTTTTGTAGAAAATATTTTGCAATGTGTGAAAATAATTTAAGCCCAAAAATTGTGACTGCTTCATTCCACTGAGGTATCGTCTCCCTAAACTTTGCATTCCCGCTGCACTGTCATGCAAAGATTAAGAAATAACACCTTCAATGAAATATGATTCATTATAACATACCTATGATGATGTATAGTGCAAAGTGTACACAAGACAGCGAGCCAATATAAGTTGTCACCATTTGTGACAACCGTATCTGACTTTACCGTTGTCAGGCTGTTCCGGTATATGACTTTGAAGAGATTTGAAATATCCTTATTCAATTACAAATGAAGTGTAGACACTTGTATGGAAATAATTGTTCAAATTGTGACTACAATTGCTGTTGATTGGTCAGAAAATAGAATATTTAGAAAACAATTTTTCAACATTTGAAACATTTCATCAAATCAGTATCATGTAACCCCTGTTTCGGTAACTACGTTTGAAGAGTGCAGTACCAGAGATTCTGCAGTGGAGAATGTTCCTTTATTTTGATCTCTTATGTTTTAGTTGTTATGTCCAAGAAGAGGTGCCTGATTCTAGCTACTATAGTGAGTGTAGGTGAAGGCAATGTATTCTATCCCAGCTGTCATCTCTGCTTCAGCAAACTGCTCAGTCTCGACACTAAATGGTAGGTGTATATGTCGTCGCATGAGAACAACTTTGTACTATCTCACATTTTTACGGAACTGAGAAATCAAGGTTTGAAAGTTCAGAGGTCTGTATCTTACTTAGTATTGCTATGTTAAACTTGATTTTTTGTATGTCACCTGGTCTCACCCTAGAGATATCTTATATGAAATATCATACCTTGAAACAATTTACAAGATCCTTTTTTAAAACTATGGAAATGGAGTTGATACAATTTCCCACCGGAATAACAGCTTATTTCTAATTTCAATGTGCCATATCTCACGCCCGGTGATCGTGAATATGGGACGGAGGGGGGGGGAGCAGGCAATTTCTGCTAGGAAATTCAACAAATCTGGAAGATTTATTTTTTCAAGAAAAAGTTTACTATTGAATTGCTAAATGGATAGGCTCACGGTATGGTAGAATATGTTAGGTTTTCTGGGATTTTTTCTGAAACGATACGCATCTAAGGTATGAGATCTATTAAAAAAGGCGCAAGGCCATCAACAGGCACAAATCAACCTTTTTGCTATAAATCAAGCGACAATGGTCTGGAGGACCTGTAATAAATACTTGTAAGTGATGTTATCATAACTAAATTAATGTCATTGCTGAATTTATAAAATATGTTTCCATATGTGAAATAAAAAATAATCGAAAATAATGAATTTGGGACGGAGGGGGGGAGGGGACGGAGGGGGGGGGGAGCAATATGTATATAAGACATGATTAGAGATGTTTCGCGACTTTAAGTCCTTTTACTCCAAATGTCCCCATTTTTCAGTCTCCAGGGGTATATCATCCAGTTTCTTACTAAGTTAATGAGTTCATTTTTCAAATACAAGAATTCGTGTGAAGTTGTTTCACTTTATAGAATTATTACTCCCCCCCTCCGTCCCCTTCCCCCCTCCGTCCCATTTTAATTATTTTCGATTATTTTTTATTTTACGTATGGAAACTTATTTTATAAATTCAGCAATGACATTAATTTAGTTATGATAACATCACTTACAAGTATTTATTACAGGTCGTGTAGTCCATTGTTGCTTGATTTATAGCAAAAACGTTGATTTGTGCCTGTTGATGGCCTTGCGCCTTTTTTAATAGATCTCATACTTTAGATGCGCATCGTTTCAGAAAAAATCCCAGAAAACCTAACATATTCTACCATACCGTGCGCCTATCCATTTAGCAATTCAATAGTAAACTTTTTCTTGAAAAACAAATCTTCCAGATTTGTTGAATTTCCAAGCAGAAATTGCCTGCTCCTCCCTCCGTCCCATATTCACGATCACCGGGCGTGTATCTGATATCAACTGTTTCAACCAATCAACTCTCTAAGAATTGGTCATGTGACTTGCAAAACTTGGAGTTATAACAATCTTATATTAAAACAAAGTATGCCAAAATGCATGTTATTGTATCTAGAATGAAAAATAATGTTTTGCTTTGTAAAAAAATCTTCAAAAACAAAAGAATATTATTTAATAAAATAAAGAAAATTCAATTTATAAAACTTTAAAATCAATTTCTCAAATAAGTACAATTATTTCTTAATTTTGGAATCTCAGGGCACCCTTCAAAAAGAATTTATTGCCTTTGAAACTAAGGCAGAAGTACAATGCATTGAAACCAATGATGCCAATACAGTCCCCCACATATTTCCCTCGGTATAAACCCTGTAGCCTAAACCTCCCAGCACATTACAATGTAGCCCCTAAGGGCCGGTCCGCTGGTCATTATCAGGTTATTTTTGATACAGACCAGTTGATTTTTTCACTGGGTATAGGAGAATAACATTGCAACTGGTCCGTAATTCCATTTTGACCAGCAGGTTTCAGATCCTTAGGGCCTAAGACATAACCAATTTTTATTACATGCACATGGAAGAAATTTGAAAATAGAAAAATAATTTCTAATTCATTGTAGATTAGGGGCGGGGTCAAAATATCAATGTTCATATGGAGACGAAAGTAATTTCGTTTGGACAACAACCCCCCCACCCCCCCCCTCTAGACGAAAGCTTAGGTCACTTCAAAAAACATTGATTTTGAGAGGCATAATCGTATCCTATTTGCCGGGTTATTATTACGGTGAATTAACACACGTTCGCAATTTAACTGCATTGAACTCTTCAAAAGGAGGAGGGAAAAGTACGGAATTTATTTGAAAAATGATCGAATTATCGTCTTTATCTACCGATATTTTGGACCTGTCACACAAAAAAGCTCACGAACTATTGAAAACAAGCCTTTTATCAGAACATAGCGCCAGAAAAAGTGGGTAAGTCCAATTATTTTTGTATATCAGATCCGAATTATCGATGTTTTTTTGGTCAACGAAAGTTCCCAAAAACCCCCTCCCCCCCTCGCGAAAGTACTTTCGTCTCCATATGAACATCGATATTTTGACCCCGCCCCTTAATGAAAGTGATGAAACCTCGATTTAGGTAATCACATTTTGTTCATTGGGATGCAGCTATCATTATCCATTCATTTTCTGTTGTTTGCTACTCTGTGGAGTACAATTGGGAATTGAAGCAATTGTAGAAGTGGAGACTATGAGTGGCTCTTTGTAAAGAAATTGAACCAATTTGTTACTTTTCCAAAATAAAATGAATATGATCTAAAAACAATGATCCCAAAAATGCAAAAGAAAGGACAAATCTGAAAAACATACTAGTAATAAAATAACTAATAAAAATATCCCAGATGTTCAGTGAAAAGCGCAAAGTAAATCATAGATGAAGAGAAAATAAAATAAGTGTTTTACGGGACTATACTAACATAAAGATAACTCCTTATTGATATAGTGTATGGTCAGTAAAAGTTAAAGCTAGTTTAAATAGATTTAGTTTTTTTCCACAAACTATAAAACATCATTTTGAAAGAGATTTCAATAGTATACAGTTGGGGACATAAATAAATGACAGGTGGATTTGCTGAAGTGAGGATTTCCCATGTTAAAAATAAGAGAATTAACAAGAGGCCATAAATCAGTGGATGAGATTATACAAAATGTAAAATATACAAATTTTAAGGGATATGTATCTAGACAATATTGGAAATTATGGGCTTTCAGACCACCATAATTAGGAAATGGTGATCGAAAATCGACCTGTCATTTATTTTTGTCCCCAACTGTACAGACAGTGATTGCCTTTGAGCAATGTAGTGCAAAATATGACAGTTACTATTTGTTTTGATTACTATATCTAGTATATAACCTATTATTATGTACTCTATTTGAATAAACAAATAAGTAGTCTTTCATTTTCAACATTTAATGATGACAGCTTCGTATATGCATTTCTATTGCATTTGGCCATTCAAACCCCTATAAGACCTGGTAGCAGGGAAGATAAAGGGTACTTTTGACTGCTCACATGATCTAATTAACTGGTCATTTGTACTTTTCATCTTCCCTGGTAGCGAGGATTTAGGTTTTCGAGGAAATTAGTAATTCTATTTCATATCATGTGGCCATGAATAATCCAATGAGCATCCATAATACAAAGAGTAATTGAGGGCATATAATTTGAATATGCATGGGATTACACATACTGTATCATTTTATTTTTTTGATCTACTTGTAATAGTTCTAAAACTAAAACATGAAAGGCCAGCCATGCAAACTGGCATGGTATTGTGTTACAAAACATTATTTCATTCTAGATACAATAACATGCATATTCGCATACTTCGTTTTAATATAAGATTGTTATAACTCCAAGTTTTGCAAGTCACATGACCAATTCTTAGAGAGTTGATTGGTTGAAACAGTTGATATCAGATATGGCAATTTGAAATTAGAAATAAGCTGTTTGTCTGGAGATGGTACAATTTCACACTGAATTCTAGCTTAACGAGAGGGAATTGAGATGGGGCATGTATCTGAGATGAAAGCCTGTGTTTCAAATAGTAAAATTCCATGTCTATCTCAATTTTTTTGAAAATGGCAGTTAGTACAAAGTTATTCTCACGCGACGATGTATACAGTAGAACCTGTGTAAGTGGAACACGCTCCGTTCTGCCAAAAAGCGTTCTACTTTGGAGGTGTTCCACTTACGGAAGTTTGGGGGTCCGCGGGGATTTAAGGAACACAAGATCAAATATAGGGTTTATATGTATCACTGTATCACTGGAAATGTATGGTTCACATTTCATTGCATTGCAACCATTAATAATTCATTTGTTTTACTCACATTCTTAATCCTCCTCATTCTGCCAGTCTCAGGAAATTAAGTTTTAGACTTCCTACTGCTAATAATTGTTTTTAACTGTCATTCTTAATCTTACTTATCAAGTTTGAAACAAACAGCAAGGGGTATTAACACAGGCTGGTATCGAAAAATTTGTCCACTGTGACGGAGCATGCTATTTTACGTAGGAACACTAAGAAATCCACACAATTTATTTTTTACTCATATGTTTCCCTATATCAAAATAAATTACCTACTCCATGCAATGGATATATCATTTGCGAGTAACTTTAACTTCTGTTTGAAGTCCAACAACGCTAAGAGTAAAAGCTATTGAAAACGGGGCTGGAGTATCATACTCCAAAATGTACCATTTCTTTTATTTCTTTTTAATGGTACAATATGGTGACACGATAATATTTACATATGTTTTCAGCATAACTCTGAAGGTATTAATGAGATCTTGATGTATTGGGTATTTTAAATTTTTTTATTAAAAATAATGTTTAAATTTTTTGTCTGGGAGATCACTGAGAGTTTGGAGGTGCTCCATTAACAGAGGTTCAATTAACATTAAGTCCATGGGTTTTTAAAATGGGACTTTGAAAAAGTGTTCCACTTGCAAGGTGTTCCACTTACAGAGGTGTTCCACTTAGCAATTCTACTGTACTTGGTCTGTTTTGGAACAGCTCAGTACATGTAGAAAACTATTCATCTGTTTAACTTGAAGTTTCTACAGATACACGTGTTTTGTTGATGTTGTTTATTGGTTATTATGTAACCACCAAATGTGGTGACATATTGTTATACTCTCTCACTCTTTTGTAGAATATCTGGTACAATTGCCAACAAATACATGGACTACTTGTAACTTTTTATAACCATTTGCAATAATTTACGAAGTAGTGATCACATAGACTTGAGATTTTTATCGTCAACACATATTGACATGTTACAACTTATTTCTGGTGACTTCAGTTAGCTTTTTTACTTGACTTAATCTGTCAATTTTTTTTAATTGTCAAGTTTGCTAATATAAATTGCTTGCCAAATAAAACACAAATACAGCAGAATACATCACACTGCAATGAACTGTACTGATCCATGCATGTACAAGTATAATAGGTTTTGCATATTACTAAATAGCATTGAAAGAGATGCTTGTGTAATAAGTAATAGAGGAATCAAAAATGAGAGTTCATACATACAAATGAAATACAATACTTTTGCATGTGGCCAATTCAAGATATGTTCAATACTATTTTAACAGTAAAAAGTATCACCTGAGGCTCAGAGCTCTGGCATTTGAAATATTCTTGTGTTTTCCAGGTTTTGCTGTTCCAAGTGCAACAACAAGGTTTTGAGGCCAGATGTAAATCACAGGTACAGACTCTCTCTAGTCATACAGCAGGACTCTTTTCAAGCCAAGGTTGTGCTGTTTGGCAAATGTGTGCAGCATTTCTTTGGTATAAATGCCAATGGACTTCAAAGGTAACTTGTGTCTTGAATTTGTTGCAATAAGGAAACTACAAATGACAAAAATGAAATATATATTAAGTATACTGTGTATGCTGTATCAGTAAAGAAGCTGGGCCAAAATAACATCCAATTACAATTGATTATTGAGTCCACATATACAAGTGTAGCTCAACAAGTTAAACCCAATACCACGGCTTTCATTTATTAATCTGAATGTTCTTGTTGCCATGATTGGGCTTAACTTCCGTGCTATGCTTTCATTGGTAGCAAATTCTCACTATCAGTTATTAAAGGGGCAACAAGGCCTGTAGAGAGAAAAAAGGAAAATTTTAACTTTTTCTGAGCTATCAAGGCAACATTTGGCTTAACATCTTCTTTGACATACCTATTTTCTTAAAATGTATGGATAACCTATCAATTTCAGCATTAAGAAGTGTAAATTCAGTTCAAAGCTTGAAAAAGGGGAAATCCGCTTTTTCATTTTTAAGATCCATCATGATTCAAGAGGAATATCAGCTGAAATAATGTTTATCTAGGGGGTTTCTTTGTAGATAATAAAAATAGATGTAAGTCTTGATGAAATATCCAAACCTAGATATTTTTTGACACTGGTCCGTGATCATTGAATGGCTCCTCTGCACTAATTGTTGCACCTTTAATTAAACGCGCATGGAATTTCATGCACTGCCATAATTTTTTGCATCAAGGGACAAATAGGCCAAATAGGCACAGATGTTAAACCTAGGGCGGGCCACAAGATATGTCAGATAAGAAATAAGGCCCAGGCTAGGTTTAACTTGTTGAACTAATACAAGTGTTGAATTGTCATGATTGAAAGGATACTGTCTGTAAATCCACAAAACTAGAACTTTATCAAGATGTCAAGTTCACCAAACAAGGTTGGAATGGAAGTGGTGTCTTCATGTTTAAAGCTAAAAAATTGGAATATTTTTCTTAATTTTTCATACTGTTTGTTTCTCTAAGATATGAAATATATTGCAGTCAAATCCAAGGATTAAAGTATTTTCTTTGTTTTCTCTTTCCAGGTATTTATCCACGCTTGAAGATGAACACCCATCAGTAGACTGGAGTCAGGTGCTTAAATCATGTATTGATTGTGCCCTAGAAGGTGCTGTATATATGTTTGGCTTCAAAACCATGTGCTATGCTGGACAGACATTACAGGGACTTGTTGAAAGTGTTGGGGACCAGGACCCTAACAGTGTGATTACTAAGGGTGCTAATAGTTTGATTGCTACCCAGGTGATCACGACTGGAGGTTCTACAAATCAAAACATATTTGAACACTTTAAAAATAATGTGGAATCTCAGATTCAACTTTCTTCTAACCCTACTCTCCCTGTTAGTCCACTTGATTCAGAAACTCATCAACATAAACTTGTGCAAAGACAAGACTCCCACACTGGGTACAGCTTTATGAATCTACCAGGGGGAGAACTTAGCTGCGTATCTGATTATGGAAGCTCACAATCGCGTCATATTCTGGAAGATTCCCTGCAAGTTAGCTGTGGTCACTCAGATGATACATCCTCTATTAGTGCCAGTAATTATAGTGAGATATCAGCGAGCAGTCCTGTTGAAACATCCCTAAATTATATTCATGATGGTGATATAACACATGGACAAGAGGATACACACCTCCAGGTGTCGGCTACTAGAAACATGTGTCTACCTGAATCAGCCAGAGATGATAGTGGAAATAAGTCTGTATTATTTAGTTCAATAAATAGTCAAGCTGATAAACTCGAGAACCAAAATAACAAAAAGATTGAGATAGTTGGTATGAAAAACACAAAGTCTTTCACAGGGAGTAGAAGCAATACAACAGAACCTTTAACATTAACATGTGGTAATGTTAGTGAAGATAGACATAATGAACTTCATAACGATGAAGTAACCATGGAGATGCATGAAGCATCTTTTAGCTTAAACACTGCTGGAGGTTGTCAGTATAGTGAATTCACAAGAAACAATCTTCATTCGGATACATTCAGTGACATATCTGATTTCAGCATCAGTGACTCAGTTTTAATTCAGATGGACCATCCTGGTGTAACCATAGCAACAGAATTCAACAATGAAAAGTCTGTTTCCATAGCGCAGGAATCATCATTCATGGAACCCATCGAAATTGTTAGAAAGGAATCCACTCATCAAAGTTTAATCCAGCTTAATTTTAGTCAGACTATAAATGAGAAAAACAATGACAAATCCCAATGTGTAAATTCAGAAATGTCTCTATTGATGGACAAAGAAAGTAGAACAAAAGGAGGAAATGTTAATTCTTCACTGACAAGCAATAAACAAGGGACCATGTATAGTTATTATATAAAAGGAATAAATATGAGTGCTTGGGATGAAGCTTCATTTGGGGCACAGGACTCAAGAAGTACATCAAAGGACTCACATAGAATGTCACAGGACTCACATATGAATAGAATGTCACAGGACTCACATATAAATAGGATGTCACTGGACTCACATAGGATGTTACAGGACTCATGTCGTGGTCTTGACTCTGAGCAATTAATTAGTTCATCACAATTTATTGATCTTCCTGAGTCAGAGGACTTGAATGCGTTTTTAGAAGATTTTAACCAATCAGAAAGCAACAGTAACATGGATATTAGGAGCCTTGATGAAAAATCCACGAAGAGTGAGAATGAACATGAGCATTGTGATACTGAGGAGATAAATGAAAAGACTGTGGAACAACAGAGCAAAACATGTGAAGTTACTGGAGTACTTACCGCAAATGATAGTTTGAAATACCATGAGAATAATACAGATGTGAAATGCCATGTAAAGCATAGAACTAGCAATGAACATTCTTCAAGTAATGAAAAATCTGATAAAGAAAATGAAAATCTTTTAGAATGCAAGACTGAAAATGTGTTGACATCATGTTATAGCATGGACATGTTTTCTGGCTCAAGTTCTGATATGTTTGCAGAGAGTGATTTGAGCCTGAATCCCAAAAATACGTTAGGCAGTATTATACAGTATGGCACGTCAGGCAATAAACTAGGTCAAACTGATGCATCAAGCAATGATCCAAGGCAAGTTGATCAATCAAACAATGAGATAGATCAACCTGATCCACACTGTAACAGTAACCTAGGTGAGACCAACCTCTCCCAAGATATGTTCTCTCCAAGTCCTCCAATAGTAGTTTCCAGACAATTGGCAAATCTTTCCAACCACACCCTAAATCTTGCCAGCACTCCTAATCTATTTGACTCCTCAACTGACTTCTCTAATGGAGATTCAAATTCAAGATCTAGGAAGAAACCAAGTTATCATTTGGACAAAAGTTTGGGGGACTTTTCTTTTATCCCTCCCAGCAATAAAAAGCAAAAGATGAAGGGAGTTTTGAAAGAGGACATTGAAAATGTTTACAGTCAGGATTTATTTTCTGTAACTGATGAAGAAATAAGTAAAAAATTGTTATTCTAAATGTGAATTTATCATATTTACTGACCTGTTAAATCACAAATGTCATAAGTTCTCTGAGAGGGCTGCCTAAAAGTGCAATAAATATCAGAAAATGATTTATTTATTTGTATTCAATTACACTTGGGGTTTCTACATGTGTAGTAAAACCTGTATATCCAAACACCTCCCAATCTGAATACTTTTTTCTATCATTTTTTCCTTCTACTGACTTCCATGTTAAAAAAACTAGCATGGCTAAATACATTTGAAACAGATTTTCAAATTACTGAAAGACTTTTAGCCAGTCCCTATGGGCTTCAGATAAGACAGGTTTTACTGTATATATTTTTGCAGCACCTGGAAAATAATATCTAGGCCTAGGCATCTTGTATCAGACCAGAAAAGTAGAAAATATTTTTAATATAGCCATTTTATTGAGTTATCAATGCACTTTTGCCTTTAGGCCTAATGCAAAAATCTGGAAGTTCATGGTTTTGCTTTGAAATGCCAAAATTCAATTTCATATTTGACATTTAAAAGAAATTTCCTCACATCATATCCAGTACCCATAGTCCCATACATGTATTTCTTACAGAAAAGTTCCTGTAAATCCGACATGAACATTCACAAAAATTTTGTTTTCTTTTACAGTTTTTAGACCAAGAAAATGTTTAAATCTTTTTTCAACTTATGATGTTATGGAGCCTGAACTTTCAACTTGTAATTCTCATATCAAACTATGATAGGCTGCATCTATAAACTTTACAGTCAATGCACATTCAAAGGGGAGTTTTGTAAAATCAAGTTTATTGAAATTGTCTTGGTCCAGGTGATAAAGTAATCCATTTATAGTGATTTTGAAAACATTGAGAAAGTGATTGTTCAAAGAATGCATGTAGAACAGCCAATATAAATTCTTGTATTAGAACTGTTTTGTTTCATTTGGAGGATATTTCATATGCCAAGCTGTGTACTATTATGTTATGGTGAAATTTAGATGTCAATTTTTCCTTATTATCCACAAATAGAAGATCCTGAAACTTCACCCATAAATGTGAAATTGATTTGTCAAAATAAAAATCTCCCTTTTTATGTCCCCCCCACTTATGTCCCCACCACATAGTGTGGGGCCATATTGTCGGCCTAGGCGCGTCTGTCTGTCCGTATGTCCGTCTGTCCGTCCGTCCGTCCGTACGTCCGGCAGTTTTCTCCAAAACCGCTACAGATATCACCTTCAAATTTTCAGGGTTAACTTATGAGTGCATCTAGATGTGGATGAAAAAAATTTAACTCGATACCTACTTCCTGTCGGCCATTTTGAAGTCAAATGCTAAAATCCTTGTCTGCAAACTTTAAGAAAAATGGCTTCACAGTTGCTTTTGAAACTTTAAGATCTTGTTCAGCTCACTTCATTCTAGATCTGATTAGGTTTTGTACCTGTTAGCTCAGTCATGTCAGCCATTTTGAATGTTTTAAGAAAAGTTAGCGCGCGATAATACTTTGTATCATATTGAATGGTGTTTTTCAGTTTTCATACTTTAACTATTTTGTAGCTTTATAAATAATTGCAGGTGTACTTTGTTGTAAAAGCCTATGTTATTGTTAACAGTAGTTATATGTGATAATTTTGTAAAAAGAAATCGGCAAAAACTCATAATCACTTTTTTATTGTCGGCCATTTTTGTTTTTTCCGTCCTAAAATCTTGTCTGTAAAGTCTTGTCTTCGCATTTTCAGGTGAACCGTTTGGTAGATCAATTTCAAATTTTCAGGGATGATTCTTAGTATGAAAATCTAGATCTGATTAGTTTTTGGGCATTCTGGGTAAATGTCAAGGCAGCCATTTTGGATTTTCCGTCCTAAAATCTTGTCTGTAAAGTCTTGTCTACGCATTTCCAGGTGAACCGTTTGGTAGATCAATTTCAAATTTTCAGGGATGATTCTTAGTATGAAAATCTAGATCTGATTAGTTTTTTGGCATTCTAGATAAATTTTAAGGCAGCCATTTTGGATTTTCCATCTTAAAATCTTGCCCGTAAAGTCTTGTCTACGCATTTTTTGGTGAACCGTGTGGTCGATCAATTTCAAATTTTCAGGGATGATTCTTAGTATGAAAATCTAGATCTGATTAGTTTTTTGGCATTATGGGTAAATGTCAAAGCAGCCATTTTGGATTTTCTGTCCTAAAATCTTGCCCGTAAAGTCTTGTCTACGCATTTTTAGGTGAACCGTTTGGTAGATCAATTTCAAATTTTTAGGGATGATTCTTAGTATGAAAATCTAGATCTGATTAGTTTTTGGGCATTCTGGGTAAATGTCAAGGCAGCCATTTTGGATTTTCTGTCCTAAAATCTTGTCTGTTATGTTTTGTCTACGCATTTCCAGGTGAACCGTTTGGTAGATCAATTTCAAATTTTCAGGGATGATTCTTAGTATGAAAATCTAGAAGAGAATAGCTTTTTGGCATTCTGGATAAATGTCAAGGCACCCATTTTGGATTTTCCGTCCTAAAATCTTGTTTGTAAAGCCTTGTTTACATGTTTTCTGGTTAACTGTGTAAGGGATCAATTTCAAATTTTCAGGGGTGGTTCTTAGTATGAAAATCTAGAACTGACTAATATTTTGGCATTCTGGGTAAATTTTAAGGTGGCCATTTTTGATATTCCGTCCTCAAATTGTGTCGGTAAAGTCTTGTCTACTCATTTTTAGGATAACCATTTGACAGGATCACCTATAGGTGGGGACATTTTGTACACATTTGTGTTCTTGTATAAATGTGTGACAATCTATAATATACTTATGCTACATAAATTGTAGAGGTGTTGACACAACAAACTAGAGCCTGTGAACCCTTGAGTTTTATTATGGGATCGGGCCTTTTATACTAAACAGTGAGCAATACCAGAAACAAGCGTTCGATTTGCTAAACGATATGTGTCACCCTTTAATTGAACTATGCTCTGTCAACTTTTGGTGTATTATTGTAGAGTTATTTCCTCCATATATTTAATCTTCTACTTTTTTGGATCAACCTGTACATACAATTATGAATAACAAACACAATATTATGCTTCGGAACTTTTATTTCATTAAATAGTGAAAACACAAAATTCAGAGAATCTAATTTGATTGGGTAATAACCCAGATGCAAGTAGGTCCAGTTTCACCACCAGGTGGCTAGTTCGGGCTGATAACATGGAAGGGTATTAGAAAGTTCCCTAAACTTGAATATTCATCACTTTTAGTGCTTCAATTTTCATGTTACCCTGTTGTATCTGATAGTAATACATTAAAATATGACCAGTAAAAGAAAATATTATCTGCCCTATACAAGAAAAGAGATTCCACTTTTTGTGATTTTATAACATGGGATCTATGGGGTATCTCCTCGGCCTAGAAATCACATTTTCAAAGAAAATTAAATTTTCAAAGTTCATAAGCACTTTTAAAACCACATTTCTTGATGTAATTTTACATGTAGATTTCAATTATGATATCACTTGGACTGAAATTGAAGTTTTGATGGCGTAAATCAAGATTATTTCTACTCCAATATTCTATTGGATTGTCATTCACCATATTCTGATTTGGTTTAAGGATAAATCCAATCTAGGATTATTTCCAACTCAAAGGCTCAGAATGCAGATGAAGCTCTCTTTTAAAGAAACTTCTGGAAAGGGTGGAAATAATCAACACATCAATTTAAAAATTTTCACAATTCTTATCATGACTGAGCTTTTTGGATCCAACAATCACAATCGCGTGAAGGAAACAATCACCCTTGGAAGGATTTCTTGAAGACCATCATCCATGGAGAACAATTATCCTTCCTGGCAGACAATCATCCAGAGACGATCAACCTTATTTCTAGAACAGGCATACCAAGGGGAAAACCTCTCCATGGAATATAACACAGGAGCTATCATTGCTGGAGCACAGTAATCCTATGGGTTCATTATTGCTGATGAACCATTATTATTTATGGGAGAATAATCATTTGAGATCCAACCCCTGTGGAACTTTTGTTTCTGACTCATGAGGATGCAATTTATTCATATGTTTCCAATAATTACTCTTGTCAGAGAATGCTCTATCACAATATTTACATTGGAATGGTTTTTCTCCTGTGTGGGTGCGTTTGTGCTTGGTAAGATCATACATGGCATAGAATTTCTTAAGGCATAGTTCACATGAATATTTGCGCTCTTTTTTCCTCCCTGACACATAAAATAGGTTTCTTTTTGAAGGTTGCTGTGGAGATTTTTGTGATTGGAGTTTAGTATCTTGTTCAGAATGATTAGTCCCCCTAATTGTATGTTTGCCTGGTTCAAATTGATCCATTCCTCCACTTGTTCTTGATTCTGAAAAGAAACAAATGCAGGAAAGTTTATTTTGAAGTGTATACATACTGACATATTATCAAACATTATGCGGTATGTGACCAAATTTTTCAAAAATGTTTCACTTGAAAGTGCATGAAAGCTGTCCAGGGGGGGAGATTTCCCAAAGATGCCCTATCATATTAGCACGTTCGAAAACAAATTTTATAAACAGGCCTCAATTTGCCGTTAAAATGGATCTCCAAATGTTCACTGTAGTTTTATGAGTATTCTCTACAAGTATGGATCGAGTAACTTCAATAGTATTACCGTAGGTTTGAAATGATGATGTTGAACTGATGTTAACGCCATTCCCACGATTTCAAATTTAACTTTGCGCATGCGCAGCACTGAGAGAGCACCTGCTAAGGTTTGTTCACGTGATCGAATCCTGCAATTTGATTGGTGATGATGCAAGAGATGATGTAATGGGGAATCCCCGAATACGATAGAATATGAAAGAATTATGGGAGCTACTCACTCCTCCTGAAAGCTGTCATTGTTATTTTGTATGCTACTGAAGGAGGATTAGATCCCAGAATGCAATTCTGATATTCTGCCATATATGGGTATCATTGCCGTGTACAAAATTCAAAATTTAAACAGTCACCATTTCTCAATCTTTCTCACTTCAAAATTTGAATCGAAAGTTTATATTACTTAACAAAAAAATTCAAACATACAAGAAGTGATCAAGATATTAGTTCAAATTTTTTGATTGCTGATTGTGAATTTATGCAGATAAGTGTCAGACAATAATGATGCTAGCTTTGTTGGATATTGATGTTGCATTCTGGCTGTCAATCCTTCTTGTATGCCACTCAAGTTTTTAGACCTTTACTGGGATGGAGCTGATAATACCAAGGGAAATGTCAACAATGTTTTTGAGAAGATCTGCCTTATTATTATTAAGGAGCACATCTTAATTCTCAATCTTTTTCTCAAGGATCAATCACTAGCCTATACAAGTCTACACTCATTATATCAAGAACTGTACATTCTCCATCATTCTCTTGGACCAAATATTCTCCATTATTACCTTAATGACCCCAGAATAGTTAAAACAAATGTAGAGTATTGATTCAAATGCAGACAAGAATTATTGCATCAACAAATCCGAGACAGTGATTTTTCACAAAATCTAGACATACAGATTTCTCTGATGGCAGGATAAGGAATATGTAATAATTTGAATAAGGCTGTGAACTTGATTTTGAATTGATAAATATTTAAGACCCATTCACAAGATTCACAAAAGAAACTTGACTATTACAATTTCTCAACCCTCCTTGGGCTGCCATTGATAAGAATCTTCAAGGTCATTTTCATCTTTAAAAAAAACATGAAGAAATATTGCTCTATTATATTTAGTCAATCCTTTATTATGTGAAAAGCTGCTCACATGTATTTAAAATATTTCCCTGTCATGTATAATTGTTTGACAAAGATCCATACATGGAATAAGGGGATTAAGGCAAGACATGATAGAAGACTGGCATATCTGTTTATATGAATACAATAAGAATTTTCAGTTTGCTTTGACAATGAGATACATGTATATCAATGTAAAACTGGGTTTTGTAGAAAAAACCGGGTACCTGGTAGTAAATTCTCCATGCTGGGTTCAAACTTGGTACCCGGTCGAAAAAGCCAGGTACCCAAAAAACGAAAAATACGAATATATAACATAATTAGATCATTAGAAAACGTTTTGAATTCACAAAAGGATAGGTATCGATATCGAGAACTGAATTCAACAATGTTTTTCTCTTAAACCAACCATTGAAAACATTCTGTAAAAAAACATGGTATTTTATGTAATGTTGACTGATTGACACGAATTTAATGCGAAAAATTATTTAGATATTTTTTATATAACTGTTTTTGATAACATTTTTTGTTTTTTTAGTGCTATTGTTTTTGCTCCTTTCTACCAATTCTTGAGAATGAAATAAAATGTCTTTCTGAACCTTGTTGGAACAAAATAGCATATACAACATGTTTTTAGACCTCTCAATATTAAAGTTAAACAAAGGAATTTTTGGTTGATTTTAAAAAAGTATTCAAAAAATTAAAACAAAATCCCCCCAAAATAGATAAAAATCAAGAAAAACCTTTTATTTCATTAACAAGATACTTTTTAAAATCAACCAAAATTTCCTTTATACAATTACAATATTGAGAGACCTAAACATGTTGTGTTTATGTCGTTTTGTTCCAATGAGGTTCGGAAAGATGTTTCATTTCACTCTGGAAACATGATACCAAGAACAAAACAAGTGTTTGATGTGTTTTTTAAAACAATATAGATGAAAGTATGTGTATCTATTCCAAATTATATTGTAAGCATTCAAAAGATGGCCATTACATTGGCAATTTGTAAGATTTTCAGAAATTTTTGATGACTGGTTTAAGAGAAACGTGTGTTCAAAAAGTTCGCCATATCGATACTCATTCTTTATGTAATTAACTTCCTTCAAAATTGAGCTAGAAGCTTCAAATAAAAAGCATTTTAAGGCTCTTTTCTTCCTCTATCATCATGGTCATATTTTCATTGGTTATGGGGGGGGGATTACACTTCAGTGGACGTTTCATCGCGATTTGGGATAACTTAAATTATGATAAATAATCAAAATCTTACACGTTGCATCATGTAAATTAACACACGTCACCTCTCTGCCAAAGTAACGGTAGCAATTTACAGATTTAAATCATAATCAAAACAATTCACGTACCAACATACGAACTATTGAAAATAGAGTAAGATTGATTTGTCATGTTTTTCGAATCGTCTTAATAGTGGCCATTTTGAAATTTGGAAGCCATTTTGAAAATGTCTTTTTGAGTGGAGCTCTCGTGTCTTTAGGCATGAGCCTTTGAAATTTGAACCAAATTCATCCACTGGTTTTTGAATCATCAAAGATTACGTTCTGTTAAGAAGAATGGCGCCATTTTGAAAATTAGCTGCCATCTTGAAAATTCCTTCTCGACCAGAGCTCCTGTGTCCCTATAGGTATCAGCATATAAAATTTGAACTAAATCCGTCAACTGGTACTTGAGTTATCAAACATTACATTTTTACCCCTTTGTCTTTAGGCACCAGCATATAAAATTGTAACAAAATCCGCTAACCAGTATTTGAGTTATTGCCTGGACACATGGACGGATGGACGGACAGAAAGACGGACGGACAGCTTTTCTATATCCCCCTAGAACTTCGTTCGGTGGGATAACAGTAATTACTAAAAATGGCTTCTGAAGCAGAGGTCCTATGGCCATAAGGCATAAGCCTAAAAAATTTGAACTAAATCCATAAACTGATATTTATGTCAAATTATCCAGACACACGAATGAAGTAAACAACTTCTCTGTATCCCTGCCAATCTTTGTTTGATGGGATAATTAATTTATAGCATTGGAATTGTTCGTATAAATTGAATTAGAATAGTCCATTGTATGGCCAGAACAAAACAGCATTTCTAGCCATGGATGAATCCATTTTTTCAAGTTGTGGTTTAAATTCTTTGTATAAGCACCATCATCAAGTATTATGTCCTGGTCCTTCTCTATTGCATTTCCACGCTGTCCCACAGGACCATATTCAGGTTTCTCAGATTTTGGGTTTTAACTTGTAGTCATTGCACTGATATTGTCATACAGGGGACCAACACGTTCATGCAGGCCTACATCCTGTTTCATACTAGTAGAGTCCCCCATATCAGTTTTACTTTGCCCTGTAGCTAGTCCATGCACCACTCTCTCATGTCTACGTAGAGAGTCCACCCTGTTGAATGATTTAATGCACAATTTACAAACATATGGCTTTTCCCCAGTGTGGATACGCATGTGCTTCTTCAAGTCACCCGCATTCTTTGATGTTTTCAAACAAAGATGGCACTGATATGACATCAGACCAGATTGTCCATAGGAAGATGTTTTATTCGGCGTCTCTAATTTTGGGCTAGTTTTGTTTTCTGATAACTTGAGAAGAACAGGAAAATTCTGCTGATAGTTCTTCAACTCTGTTTGATAGATGTCATCTTGAAGTATGGCATTGTTGAGATTGCCAATGGGTTCCAGTGAGGCTCCAGTATTTAAGAAACCTGGAATATAAGCACAGTTTTAGAAAATAGTGCTTTAATAATCACTCTTTTTTATTTGTAACTTCTCTTGTAAGGTGAAATGACATCTCTATATTCATTGGATTGCAAAACAACTGAGTTGACATCTCTATATGAGTTGACATCTCTATATTCATTGGATTGCAAAACAACTGAGTTGACATCTCTATATGAGTTGACATCTCTATATTCATTGGATTGCAAAATAACTGAGTTGACATCTCTATATGAGTTGACATGAAGGTGAAATTACAAGTGATCTAAACTAACCCATGTGAAGTAAATATGTCCTGTATTTTCATGTGTGATACAGAACTTGTATAACACCATGGTGTTACAATATCACATGTATCATAATGTACATTCATAGAAAATACTAAAAATATTGTTTCCTCGAAAGGATGTATTTTACTTGAAGCTAGCAAATTGTGACATACAAACTTTCTCCAGCACATTTTCAATAACTGAATATAACTTGAATCTTTGAATAACTTGTATACATCTATATAATTTAATTAACCTCTTGACTACCCAGAGTAAAGATATTTCTCGTCACCTCAGAAATGACCGTGAAACCCAGAGTGAAGAGATAATCCGTCACAATTTTTTTTCTAAAATTGCTCTTATTTGAATAACATCCAATTTACACAAAAATTGATTTAAAATGTCTAGAAATGATCTCTAGTAAAATGTCAAAAGCTGGCATAAATGAAATATTCTCTGGTTTTTAGAACCTGGGATTCATGAGGTTAATAACCTTAAATCAAACATTGACAGTTGGACACAATTGTTAGTTTTAGTAGGTTATCACTGCTGATTTTCTCACTTGTTAAATATCAGATTTATATTTACATGTTCTTTACACATATAGCCTACCTATCTGTCTGACTATGTAATGGATTGATAAATCTTTGACCTTTAATTAGCTTAATATGAAATAATACCAATAAAGGTACATTCACACAATATTTCATAAATATAATTCATGTGTTTATACAGCCCATGGTTGATACATAATTGTTGAATTTGCAAAAAGAACAAGGGTCAGTATGATGAAGCCTGCCTCCAATCTGTCAAACCCCATGGTTAACATATTTGTTGCATTCCCAAAAGAACAAGGGTCAGTATGATGAAGCCTGCCTCCAATCTGTCAAACCCCATGGTTAATACATATTTGTTGCATTCCCAAAAGAACAAGGGTCAGTATGATGAAGCCTGCCTCCAATCTGTCAAACCCCATGGTTAATACATAATTGTTGCATTCCCAAAAAGAACAAGGGTCAGTATGATGAAGCCTGCCTCCAATCTGTCAAACCCCATGGTTAATACATATTTGTTGCATTCCCAAAAGAACAAGGGTCAGTATGATGAAGCCTGCCTCCAATCTGTCAAACCCCATGGTTAATACATAATTGTTGCATTCCCAAAAGAACAAGGGTCAGTATGATGAAGCCTGCCTCCAATCTGTCAAACCCCATGGTTAATACATATTTGTTGCATTCCCAAAAGAACAAGGGTCAGTATGATGAAGCCTGCCTCCAATCTGTCAAACCCCATGGTTAATACATATTTGTTGCATTCCCAAAAGAACAAGGGTCAGTATGATGAAGCCTGCCTCCAATCTGTCAAACCCCATGGTTAATACATATTTGTTGCATTCCCAAAAGAACAAGGGTCAGTATGATGAAGCCTGCCTCCAATCTGTCAAACCCCATGGTTAATACATAATTGTTGCATTCCCAAAAGAACAAGGGTCAGTATGATGAAGCCTGCCTCCAATCTGTCAAACCCCATGGTTAATACATATTTGTTGCATTCCCAAAAGAACAAGGGTCAGTATGATGAAGCCTGCCTCCAATCTGTCAAACCCCATGGTTAATACATATTTGTTGCATTCCCAAAAGAACAAGGGTCAGTATGATGAAGCCTGCCTCCAATCTGTCAAACCCCATGGTTAATACATAATTGTTGCATTCCCAAAAGAACAAGGGTCAGTATGATGAAGCCTGCCTCCAATCTGTCAAACCCCATGGTTAATACATATTTGTTGCATTCCCAAAAGAACAAGGGTCAGTATGATGATCCTGCCTCCAATCTGTCAAACCCCATGGTTAATACATATTTGTTGCATTCCCAAAAGAACAAGGGTCAGTATGATGAAGCCTGCCTCCAATCTGTCAAACCCCATGGTTAATACATATTTGTTGCATTCCCAAAAGAACAAGGGTCAGTATGATGAAGCCTGCCTCCAATCTGTCAAACCCCATGGTTAATACATAATTGTTGCATTCCCAAAAGAACAAGGGTCAGTATGATGAAGCCTGCCTCCAATCTGTCAAACCCCATGGTTAATACATAATTGTTGCATTCCCAAAAGAACAAGGGCCAGTATGATGAAGCCTGCCTCCAATCTGTCAAACCCCATGGTTAATACATAATTGTTGCATTCCCAAAAGAACAAGGGTCAGTATGATGAAGCCTGCCTCCAATCTGTCAAACCCCATGGTTAATACATAATTGTTGCATTCCCAAAAGAACAAGGGCCAGTATGATGAAGCCTGCCTCCAATCTGTCAAACCCCATGGTTAATACATATTTGTTGCATTCCCAAAAGAACAAGGGTCAGTATGATGAAGCCTGCCTCCAATCTGTCAAACCCCATGGTTAATACATATTTGTTGCATTCCCAAAAGAACAAGGGTCAGTATGATGAAGCCTGCCTCCAATCTGTCAAACCCCATGGTTAATACATATTTGTTGCATTCCCAAAAGAACAAGGGTCAGTATGATGAAGCCTGCCTCCAATCTGTCAAACCCCATGGTTAATACATAATTGTTGCATTCCCAAAAGAACAAGGGTCAGTATGATGAAGCCTGCCTCCAATCTGTCAAACCCCATGGTTAATACATAATTGTTGCATTCCCAAAAGAACAAGGGCCAGTATGATGAAGCCTGCCTCCAATCTGTCAAACCCCATGGTTAATACATAATTGTTGCATTCCCAAAAGAACAAGGGTCAGTATGATGAAGCCTGCCTCCAATCTGTCAAACCCCATGGTTAATACATAATTGTTGCATTCCCAAAAGAACAAGGGCCAGTATGATGAAGCCTGCCTCCAATCTGTCAAACCTCATGGTTAATACATAATTGTTGCATTCCCAAAAGAACAAGGGTCAGTATGATGAAGCCTGCCTCCAATCTGTCAAACCCCATGGTTAATACATAATTGTTGCATTCCCAAAAGAACAAGGGTCAGTATGATGAAGCCTGCCTCCAATCTGTCAAACCCCATGGTTAATACATAATTGTTGCATTCCCAAAAGAACAAGGGTCAGTATGATGAAGCCTGCCTCCAATCTGTCAAACCCCATGGTTAATACATAATTGTTGCATTCCCAAAAGAACAAGGGTCAGTATGATGAAGCCTGCCTCCAATCTGTCAAACCCCATGGTTAATACATAATTGTTGCATTCCCAAAAGAACAAGGGTCAGTATGATGAAGCCTGCCTCCAATCTGTCAAACCCCATGGTTAATACATATTTGTTGCATTCCCAAAAGAACAAGGGTCAGTATGATGAAGCCTGCCTCCAATCTGTCAAACCCCATGGTTAATACATAATTGTTGCATTCCCAAAAGAACAAGGGTCAGTATGATGAAGCCTGCCTCCAATCTGTCAAACCCCATGGTTAATACATAATTGTTGCATTCCCAAAAGAACAAGGGCCAGTATGATGAAGCCTGCCTCCAATCTGTCAAACCCCATGGTTAATACATAATTGTTGCATTCCCAAAAGAACAAGGGTCAGTATGATGAAGCCTGCCTCCAATCTGTCAAACCCCATGGTTAATACATAATTGTTGCATTCCCAAAAGAACAAGGGCCAGTATGATGAAGCCTGCCTCCAATCTGTCAAACCCCATGGTTAATACATAATTGTTGCATTCCCAAAAGAACAAGGGTCAGTATGATGATCCTGCCTCCAATCTGTCAAACCCCATGGTTAATACATATTTGTTGCATTCCCAAAAGAACAAGGGTCAGTATGATGAAGCCTGCCTCCAATCTGTCAAACCCCATGGTTAACATATTTGTTGCATTCCCAAAAGAACAAGGGTCAGTATGATGAAGCCTGCCTCCAATCTGTCAAACCCCATGGTTAATACATAATTGTTGCATTCCCAAAAGAACAAGGGTCAGTATGATGAAGCCTGCCTCCAATCTGTCAAACCCCATGGTTAATACATAATTGTTGCATTCCCAAAAGAACAAGGGTCAGTATGATGAAGCCTGCCTCCAATCTGTCAAACCCCATGGTTAATACATAATTGTTGCATTCCCAAAAGAACAAGGGTCAGTATGATGAAGCCTGCCTCCAATCTGTCAAACCCCATGGTTAATACATATTTGTTGCATTCCCAAAAGAACAAGGGTCAGTATGATGAAGCCTGCCTCCAATCTGTCAAACCCCATGGTTAATACATAATTGTTGCATTCCCAAAAGAACAAGGGTCAGTATGATGATCCTGCCTCCAATCTGTCAAACCCCATGGTTAATACATAATTGTTGCATTCCCAAAAGAACAAGGGTCAGTATGATGAAGCCTGCCTCCAATCTGTCAAACCCCATGGTTAATACATAATTGTTGCATTCCCAAAAGAACAAGGGTCAGTATGATGAAGCCTGCCTCCAATCTGTCAAACCCCATGGTTAATACATAATTGTTGCATTCCCAAAAGAACAAGGGCCAGTATGATGAAGCCTGCCTCCAATCTGTCAAACCCCATGGTTAATACATAATTGTTGCATTCCCAAAAGAACAAGGGTCAGTATGATGATCCTGCCTCCAATCTGTCAAACCCCATGGTTAATACATAATTGTTGCATTCCCAAAAGAACAAGGGTCAGTATGATGAAGCCTGCCTCCAATCTGTCAAACCCCATGGTTAATACATAATTGTTGCATTCCCAAAAGAACAAGGGTCAGTATGATGAAGCCTGCCTCCAATCTGTCAAACCCCATGGTTAATACATAATTGTTGCATTCCCAAAAGAACAAGGGTCAGTATGATGAAGCCTGCCTCCAATCTGTCAAACCCCATGGTTAATACATATTTGTTGCATTCCCAAAAGAACAAGGGTCAGTATGATGATCCTGCCTCCAATCTGTCAAACCCCATGGTTAATACATAATTGTTGCATTCCCAAAAGAACAAGGGTCAGTATGATGATCCTGCCTCCAATCTGTCAAACCCCATGGTTAATACATAATTGTTGCATTCCCAAAAGAACAAGGGTCAGTATGATGAAGCCTGCCTCCAATCTGTCAAACCCCATGGTTAATACATATTTGTTGAATTCGCAAAAAGAACAAGGGTCAGTATGATGAAGCCTGCCTCCAATCTGTCAAACCCCATGGTTAATACATAATTGTTGCATTCCCAAAAGAACAAGGGTCAGTATGATGAAGCCTGCCTCCAATCTGTCAAACCCCATGGTTAATACATAATTGTTGCATTCCCAAAAGAACAAGGGCCAGTATGATGAAGCCTGCCTCCAATCTGTCAAACCTCATGGTTAATACATAATTGTTGCATTCCCAAAAAGAAATGAGAAAAAACATTGGACAAATAAAAAATCATTATATCATGATGTTAAAATGTGGAAACAATCAATATAAAGAGATTGTCTTTATTATCGGACTTGGAAACATGACTAAAACCCTGAATTCAAAGACAAACAAAATGTTTGAAGTGCGAGCCAAACAGTTGAATTAATTGAAATGAACCAAAACATAATTCATCCAAATTGATTACAAAACCAGTTGAAACAATGAGCATATTTCTTCTCTGAGATGCAGCACCTCCATATATTTCACAAATCAAGAAAATCTTAAAATGTTGTACAAATAAAATAAAAAACCTAAAAGGTGGCACAATTAGTAACAAAATTCTTAAATGTTGCATTTAAAAAATAGCAAAATTAGACATCCACAAAAAAAAATCTTGGGGAAAGCATTGTATCTTAATTGAGAAATTGCGTCAATGAAAATAATGATTTCAATTAAACTGCCAAAACAAATTTCACAGTGTATACAGTTTGGCTCTGGGTCTGAGATGTCACTGTCACATTATAAAGAACTGACCCCCATCCTTAAGAGAGCATGCAAAATGACAACACTGAGAAATGAAAGAATTTAAACCCACCTGCAAGTTTTATGTATGAAGTCTGTTTAACACGATATAAAATTGGAGAGAAAACCAGCAGCAAAAAATCCTAGTACATGAATACCAAAATTATTAGCATCACGCGTCAGTTTTCCAAAGTAATTTGTATTTAAAAGTTCCTGAAACAAATAGATTCTCCATCATGACAAATTGTACGGAAATATAAGATAAACTAGTTAGTTCCGATAGAGTTTATTTGATGAAAACCACAAAAGAGCCAAAATTGGTCAACAGCTCAAAATCTAAATATATGCCAAGTTACATACATGTATTCTTCTTTAAAACACAAGTGAAACCCTTGTGAACAGAAGAGGAGTTCAGTGAGACAATGTGTTTTACAAATGGTTAAAGAACAAAACAACAAACCTCCAGTGTTCTCTTGTCCCCTGCATGATATTGTGCTAGGATCATGTCCTTCCCTGAATGCACCAGCTTCCTCATCAACAATATCATTTCCATCCTCATCAGCATCATCCACCTCTAGCTTGATGAATTTCTCCATAGGTTCAGACACATCAGGGTTAATAGAACGTCTATGTTTAGAGGAGGTACTATGGGATTTCATCTGCTTTCCTGTAATGATGTCACAAATTGAAAAAGATGAAATACTGTTAGATGTAAGAAAAAGTACTAATTCACTATAATCTCCCTAATTTAACATGCTCTTTGTAAACCAGATTTGCAGTTTCGGATTTTCAAATCGTTAAGCTGTGTGCAACACCAAGATACACCACATCATGCTAGGACTGAATTATGAAAAATCTCAATATTCTGTAGCTACTCACTTTGAATGTGGTCTTCTATTGCATCTGAAGACTCATAATACAATGTTGTGTCATCTGATCTGATCTCTGGTTGGTAAGCCTCAACAGGAGCAGTAGTTGAATTGTCAGTGTTGTGTTTTTGAGATCCTATACTACCATGCGTTATGGATGATACCTCACTCTCCTGATTTGTCAATGTCATGCATGGCTTACCACATGTGTTTGATGTATTTTGAGACACAATTGGAGCATGCAATGTTGATATATTACTGTCATTTGGTTTAAGCACTGTTCTATGCATTTTTATGACTATGTCACTTGTGCTTTCTCCAGGGCTTATACATATGATACCATCAATCTCCAATGTGCTTTTAAAGTTGAGATGCTGTGTGCAGAGTCTGAGTATGGCATCTTGTAATGATTTTGTGAGCATGTGACTTTGGTGGACTGCCATCTTTATTTAGTCTGTTGTGTGCTTGGCTACCTGAAAGTATCAAATAATGGATATTCGATAATAGTCAAAACAAGTTTCAGAAATGCTAGTTCTAGGTACAGGGTGAGACACTTATAGACGAGTAGGGATTTGCAAAAAATAAAATAAAAAAGGATCGACTGACCCTGTTAGGTTTCTTGGTATTTTTGGAAAGCTGTGAATCACCACATCATCTTCTTCATAATAAGAAGTTCTGAAAATGGTCCCGTTGCCATGGAAACGGACGCTGAATAAAATACCTGCTATTAACAGTATTCGAATCACCAATAACATGTTTTGTTATATAACTATTACATTTCTTATCGGTTTTAAATAATCTTGGTACCAAATGAAGGCATGTTGAGTCCCCTTTCAGATAAAGTATAATTTATGCAAATCAGCTCATTTGCATATCTTCTGTGACGTCATAATTGTGATTTTTTGAGCAAGTTATTAAAATACATGTTATAAATACCCCTTTGAATTAAATAAGTGTAGTAAAGTTGTATATATTCATAAAATACAAATGTAGGAGAAACAGGCTTTATTTTGATATATATAACATATCTCAATCAGTTTAAGCGATATAGCCTACGTCCTTTTAATCAGTACATAACTGGAAAAATAACAGCAAAAGTAGACCTATTTTATGGTACAACTTGTATTTTACAAAATATGAACTAGCCTTACGTAAATCATGGGGGTTGAGACGGTAAACACTGATATTAGCAGGTAAACCTCAGACCCTACTGGGTATCTTTAGAAAGCTAAGCCTCTACTATATTTTCCACATAATGAGAAGTTCTGAAAATGGCGCCGTTGCCATGGAAACGGACGCCGATTAAAATACCTGCTATTAATAGTATAAATATCATGTTTTATTTTATAACTTCTCCATTTCTCATCCATTTTAAATAATCTTGGTACCAAATGAAACCATGGCAATGCCCTTTCAGAAAAATTATAAATTATGCAAATTAGCTCATTTGAATATATTTTGTGACGTCATAATTGCAATTTTTCCTAATACTTTTTAGCAAATTATTAAAATACATGGAATAAATAACCCCTTTAAATTATATAATTGTAGTAAAATTGAATATCTTCATTGAACACAAATGTAGCCTAGACAGGCTTTATTGAGATATATAGATCATATTTCAATCCGTCTGGGAGATATAGCCTACATCTTTTTAATTAGTACATAACTGGAAAAAATAAAGCAAAAATAGACCTACTTATGGTATTTTACAAAATATAAACCAGTCTCATATAAATTATGGGTGCTAAGATGGAAGACGCTGATATGAACAGGTTAACCCCAGACCTACTGGGTCTCTTGGTATCTTTAGAAAGCTAAGCATCTTTACTCAATCTTCCGCATAATGAGACATTCTGTAATTGGTCCCGTTGCTATGGAAACGGACTAATAAAAACAAATAAAAATAATACGCTAGGTATTGGCAATATCTTGATCATGAACGAAAATGTTTGTCTCATAACTTTCCTATTTATTATCCATTTTGAGTAATATTGGAATCAAATGAAAGCTCGTTATTTCAGTTACAGTGCAATCTATGCAAATTTATCTCATTTACATATCCTTTGTGACATCATAATAGTAATTTTTCTCACATTTCGAGCAAAGTATCAAAAAATGTTATAGAAAATTAAATATTTGTAGTAAAAGTGTAATATATTCATGTATTACATACCTAGCGAAGCATTTGTATGGAAGTCAATGGGAAAGTTAGCGAGCTATATCCACCGATATTGCCTGATTACCCCGATATAGCCCGCTTACCTCGTTTTGATATTAGATTTCTTTAATAACCATGATAATATCATGACGTCACGTCATTGATACAAAGTAACCATGGGAACAAAGGCATGTAATACATCAGTTATGTCACTATGACGTGAAATATGCCTTCGTTCTTGCCCAAATATAGAGCCTCCCAAGGTCGGCCTATATTGGGAGAACTCAGGCATATTTCACGTCATAGTGACATAACCTCTAAGTATAAGATAACTGTAGGCCAAACAAGCCTTATAGTTTGGCAGAAATATAGGGTATTTTGACATTCAATCGTTTTCTTCGGATTACAACTTATCAACATGAATATAGGATTGGGACCTCAAAACCACCAGATGTCGGAGCGGCACCCTTGGGCAACTCTCTACAGAGCATTTCTTTTACCCCCCTGATAAAATATACAGGGGGTACAATAAGACACCCCCATATCTCAGATACTAATAAATATATTAACTTGAAATTTTCAGGAATTAGTTTTAGTATGATGCTTGACATGTATGAAAAAAATCAAGAAAAAATCTTAATCCATTGCTATAGCAACAGTAACAGAACACTATTTGTTACCGAAGAGATGCATTATTTTGCAACATGCAACATTTCTTCATATTCTTGATTCTTAAACTAGCATATAGTATTACACTAGTATATAGGACACTGCATATTTTATATGTAGTACATACATGTATATTAAATGAAATTTAATGAATTCATACAGTATTGAGGTTGGCATATAGTCTAGACTTTGGCATGATATCTTAACATTATAAACATTAGTTTTCCTCATCTGAGCAATATGCAATACGACTTTGGTAGTTATCATGTACAAGTACAATAGTATATGCCATCAGTTTTATATTATGCAACCTTATGCCTAAATTAAGGTGGGGGTCTATGTCTGATAATTTCTGTAAGTTTGTGTTCTGTTAAGTTCTTGAGCTTATCATTTATTTTGGGATGTATTTTTCTGACCTATCCAGAAAGTGGTTGAAACGTAAAATCTAAAGGGATTTAAATAAGCCTTTGCTGAAAAAGGTTCTAGATTTTTGCCTTTTAATGTTCCAAATGAAGGTAATTGGTCAAAAATTGGGAAATTTCACTAGTACTAATCAACAAAAACTTCAAAAAGGCCTTAGTTTAGCTTTAATGTCCTGTTTAAGAACCCCTATTCTAACTGTCGAAAATGGATTGTAGCAATACTATCCAACACGAATCTACTTGTTGAGCTTCGATCAACTTGAGTTCTTCGTAGAAGATGAGGATTTCAACAAGGGTGCATTGATTTTACATCGTAACGTACCTGATGGCATCCTCACACCAAGTCAATGGTTAGTCTAGCTCCAAGACTCTGTGACCCCCACTACTAGACTAAACACCTTTTCACACCGTGTGGGGAGGTGTTTATGGGGGGATGGCTTGTAGCTAGACTAGTCAATGGTGTATGTCCCCATGTTGAGTCAATGCAAATTTAAAACAAATCTGGCAGGGTTTAAGCAAATTTGGAAAAATGTTCACCAAATTCCCCGTTTAGTGGCTCCAAATTTTCGAACACCCTCCTGCCAAATCCTGGCTACGCCACTGCTTCATGTTAATAATAAAAAGAACTCATTTAATTCAATCTAAAGAGTATTCTAATGATTCTATGATTCCATTGGTCTCTATATTTTAGCTACAGTTTGAGCATTAATTCTGTAAAGTACTTTTACCATAAACATTTCTATGATATTCAAACATGTCTCTAGGTACCAGTATGTGATAGTTCCTTCGATACCCTAGGTTACATTGTGAAATCCCACCAAACAAGACAGTGAAGACATTATTCTCAGGAAAGAAAAAAATAAAATAAAAAAATCTTCCCAATTAACATTGTGATGTTTCAATTCTAGTTCGTAGATTTTATCATTTTAAGTCTTTATATATAAAATTAAAATCAATAAGTATAAATAAATAATACATAAATGAGACGAATTGGAGTTTGGGTAGTATAAATAACTATGATACTTTTTAATTGATAATCTTCCTTAAAGAGATGAACATGATATGACATGCTGTGCTAGTCTGCTATTCTTCATAAAAATAAGAAGAAAAACTCACCATCTTATAAAAATTTATAAAATCAGTGAGAAAATTCAGTGAGCTAAGAATTTTGGACTTTTGGAAATTTGTAGAAGAAAGGATGGGTTTCGAAATGAAGAGGTATTTCTAAATATATGAATAAATCATGAAGATTGGGAGTAATGGTGTTGAACTGTTTTTCGTAACACTGGTTTAAAAGATGGTGGGTGCATATTTTAGTAGCCTTGCCCAAGTCAGTATTTTTTACTTATCTGATCTTGAATTATTACCTTGTACAATCAAATACATCTCCGCTGATATAATGCTAAGTTATTCAGCGGTTTCGAGATTTCCATAATACCTACACTGTCAGGGGTATCGCGAAACCTTATTGATTGACAAGATCGCATGGACACGATGTGTGACTTCAGGCTGATTGGCCAATCAAAACGTTATCAGGTTGACCTGCATAAACAAAGCAAACTACCCGTCTACGACTTGATCTGATCGAGTGTTTTTAGCGTTATAATATATTACGTAATTAAATGTACATTGGAATGTAAGCAGTCATTAATATAACTTAAATCATTAGCCTAATGTGATTCAATGAAGATGAAGATGTACGAAGACCTAGTTCGGCCATGTAGTCGTCGATCTGATTCAATGATTGAATCTCAGCCTAGATGTTCGATTATTTGAATTCAGCTATTGTTTCAACTTTCTCAAGTCTCTAGCCAAATTACTTGGCTAGAAGACATGGCATGTGGACCAACGTGCACTAGTGATAACGTTGATTCTGGAGTAAGATTTTTTTAAATGTTATTCTAAAAATTGTAATGAAAATATTTCATCAAATAGAATGTAAACGAAAACTATCCTTTGTGAGATATTATACCGCATGCTTTCGTCTAAACTTAAAATCATTTGGTCTGCCATTTATAATAAAAACATCTGTTGAGGTTAATCTTTATCTTGCTTTAGCGAAAAACAAAATGGCAGTTTTTACCGAAGGATCTTTTCTAAATTGGTCTTAGAAAAGACTAAATAAAAGCCGATGTAGATGGTCATATGAACTAAGACTACATACTCAGTTCAATGAAGGTATGTTTATTACATTTGAGCTAATTTATAGCAACAGTCCACA